GGAGCCTCCTAGGGCCTCTTGGGGCTTCCTGTGGCCTCCTGAAGCCTCCGGGGGCTTCGTGTGGCCTCCTGGAGCCTCCTGGAGCCTCCTGGGGCCTCCTGTAGCCTCCTGGGCAGGATTCGTGCCCCAGGAGAAGCCCAATCTATAGGAACAGACGTAAAACACTTCCTTCGGATTGGAGCAACAGAAGAATGGCAATCTGTAGGACCACACGTAAACCACCAAGGACTCGTGCCCCAGGGTGGGCCCAATCTATAGGAACATATGCCAAACACTTAGGAGTGGATACGCAGGAGAAGGACAATCTATCGAAACATACGTGGAACCCACAAAGGATTCGTGCTCCAAGGGGGACCCAATCTATCAGAGTGAGGAGGCCGAACGGTCATTCATTGTCCCTGGGTGCGTGGCTAAAGTGAGAACCCCAGGGGGGACCCAATCTATCAGAGTGAGGAGGCCGAACGGTCATTCATTGTCCCTGGGTGCGTGGCTAAAGTGATTATGCTTGTTGCGTTGTTGTTGTTGGTGGTGCTGCTGTTGTTGTTGTTGTTCGTGGTGGTGTTGTTGATGTTGATGGTATTGATAGTGTTGTTGTTGCTGCTGGTGCTGTTGATGTTGCTCTTGTTGTTGTTAGTGTTCATGTTAGTGTCAATGCTATTGTTATCAATGTTGTTGTTGTTGCTGTTCTTGTTATTGTTGTCATAATCCCACCCGCGAACCATCCGCGACCCACCCCGCGACCCACCCACGACCCACCCGCGACCCACCCGCGACCCACCCGCGACCCACCCGAAAATCAGCGCCTCGCTCGAGACATCCTCGAAATCTGCTCCGAAAGCGGAGGATGTCGGGCCCCGAAACAGGCGCCTGGTTCGAGACATCCCCGCCATTGTGGCGCGAATGGGGGAGTGCAATACCTCCTGGCGCCCCCCTCTTGGGGGCGAACAGCAAGCGCCTCGCTCGAGACATCCTCAACGCTACGAAAGCGGTGGATGTTACAGCAATAAACAGGCACACCACTCGAGACATCCCCGCCATGTCGGCGCGACTGGAGGAGAGCAATACCCCCTGGCGGCCCCCCCTTGGGGATGCAGAAATCTGCGCCTCGCGCGAGACCTCATCAGAATTTGCTCCGCCATCATCGTCATCATCATCATAATCATCATCATCATCATCATCATCATCATCATCATCATCATCAGCATCACCAGCAGCATAATCATCATCACCATCACCATCACCATCACCATCACCATCTCCATCATCCTCATCCTCATCCTCATCCTCATCCTCATCCTCATCCTCATCCTCATCATCATCATCATCATCATCATCATCATCATCATCATCATCGTTATCAGCATCATCATCATCATCAGCAGCATCATCACCATCATAACCATCACCATCAGCATCAGCATCATCAACATCATCATTCTTCATCTCAGCAGCATCAGCATCATCATCACCATCAACATCAACATCATCATGCCATACAATCGTAACATGCCATAGCATAACACGGTCTACCATACCGTAACATACCACGACATACTATACCATATCATATCTTTATACACGAGCACATACCAAACCATACCATTCAATACCACGAATAACATAACATACACAGCACACCCAAACGCAGCATAAACCAAGACATGACATGTCATGCCATGTTATACCATAACTTAAAATTAGGAGGAAGAGGGAGGAGGGAGAAGGTGAGTCTCGTCGCGGTCGGAGTAATACCGTAGCACCCCGCAGTTGCGGATAAGAGTGAGGGGGCGGCGGGTACATCGGCAGCCTACGAGGCTCTGAAGAAGCCCGCCGCAGGCGCAGTTTTTTCAAGCTATAAAACGAGCCCGCCGCAGGCGCAGATTTTTTAATGAAAATAATGTGGGTGGGTCCCGGGTTGGGTCGCAAGTGGGCCGACGGTGGGTCGCGGGTGGGTCGCGGGCGGGGTCGCGGGTGGGTCGCGGGGTGGGTCGCGGGTGGGTCGCGGGTGGGATGACGACAACAAGCAACAACAACAACAACAAGCAGCAACAACAACAACAACAACATCAGCAACACCATCAACAACATCAGCAACAACAGCAACAACAACACCAACAGCAATAACATCAGCAACAGCAACAGCAACAGCAACAGCAACAGCAACAACGACAACAACAACAAACAACCAACAACAACACCACCAACAACAACAACAACAACAGCAACAACAACAACAACAACAACAACAACAACAACAACAACGCAACGAGCAGAATCCTCACCACGGATTCTCACTTTAGCCACGCACCCAGGGACAACGAATGACCGTTCGGCCCCCTCACTCTGAACAAGAACCCCATCCATTGGATACGGGAAACCAGGACCCCATCTTGTGGATACGAGGAATAACAAGAACCCCGTCCTCTGGACATGGGGAATAGCAAGAACCCCATCCTCTGGATATGGGGAATAGCAAGACCCCCATCCCCAGGATATCGGACAAGAGCACTCACCGTTTGCATTGACCCCCGCCTCTTGAGCCCAACACCCGGACGATGGGAAGCCCCGGCCCGTCGGCACACGCCGGCGGCCGCGCCTCCGCGGCGGAGCTGGCCGCCGCGGCGTCCAGGCCGTCGCACTGGATGCCGAGGTCCTGCTGCAAGGCGGGACGAGGGCAACATCGGGCGAGGAGGAATCGGAGGAATCTCTGAGGTCCTGCGGCTCTGGAGGACGTCTCGGGCGCCGCGGCCTTCTCAGAGCGCTCCTGAATGCTTCCAGGATCGGAGCTTTTGAGGATCGAGGAGCCCGGGATCGAGGGACGAGGAGCAGCGATGGAGTCGAGGGGCGGGGATCGAGACGTTGGAAGATCGGGAATCGGGCCCTCCCCCATGTCCACCCGATACGCGCAAGGCATCTATACACCACCAACGTGCAAAGCCAGGGCCGTCCTGGGCCCTGGCATGGTGTATACGCCCTCCTGGCCGAGGCCAGGAGGGTCTGTACACCATCCTAGGGCCCAGGATTGCCCTGGCCTGGCACGGTAGTGGTGTATGGACGCCTTCGTCGGATCCGATGCATTCAGAAACTCAATGCGGACTCGTGCTCACCGCTTTCGGCCTCTGGGGGCCCTCGCGAGGCGCCTGGACCGTCAGACAGCGGCTCAAGACGGAACAACTTGCCCTGGGGAGAGGGTCGGGACCTCCCCGGGCCCGGACAGAATGGGCCCAGGGACACACCAGTAAATGAACACACATCTCCCAAGAATCACCCTATTTTTCCATATTTCCTTGAGTTCCGTCTTCCCCCCCCCACTTCCCATAGTTTCCTGCAATCCCCTGGGAATCGACGATTCTTAGTCTACGTATGTTTCTTCCCCTCCCGATCGATAGAAGCGAAGCGAAGCCATCCGCTGACCAGCCGCGGCGGGCGGGACCACCCTGGCGGCACCCAGAAGTGCACGCCTAGGCAGACCGAGTGGGACGGGCAGCATAGAAGCAACATCGGCTCACGAACCTCAGGAGGCAACTCCACGGAGGTCCTCGTTAGAACAACTCAGGGCTATCAAGCCCGATGAAGGGGCAGCTTCACAGACTTAGGCCAGACGACACCCAACATATAACGGGACTAGACTGGATTAAGCAATATTCAATCGGAGAAAACTGGATTGAGCCACATTAGCCCAAAAAATTAAGCCGGCTACCAACCGCGAAAACATACAGGCGCCGAAACATAATTAAACCTCCGAGGGGTTGCATCCTAGCGAACCTATGCCAGACAAACGACAGCGACCACGACGAGCCCATACGTTCGAGCGACGTCAACCAAATGCGCAGAATCAGGCCTACTCTTGGGTAGGGCATGTCCCCCTACAGGCGGATTTTTGGACGAAACATAAAAAATGCAAAACATGCTCCAGCAATGCTCACAAATAATCCATGAATCGTTCCCAGACTATTTTTTGACTATTTTTGAACGGTCACGCCCGACTTAGGCCTACTCATTCACGCGGGATCGTGTCCGCAATGCGCAGCTGCGGCGTCCGTGTGCGCATCTCCGCGCTCTCCCCTCGGCGGCCGAGTGCGCAGCGACGCCGGTGGTCCCGACTGCGCCCGAGACGGCAGCCGACCGACGCAGAGGGACACAGCGAGAGATAAAGAGAGAGAGAGAGGGAGATAGATACCCGTATATACATATATATATATATATTTATATATATATATATATATATATATAAATGCAGACCTCTGGAGAGAGAACTAGAGAGAGAGAGAGAGAGACACACACACACACACACAACACACATAAGCGACAACGGCAACAACATACGCAGAGAGACCAGCGGCGCGCACAGTGCAGAAAAGAACATAAACGAGCAATGGCAAAACAAACGCAAAAAGCGGAGAGACCGGCGGCGCCGCGCGCAAGGGAGCGGGGCGTGCCGGGCCCTCGCGCCCGCCCGCTCGGTCGGCTTCCGCGCGCACAGCCCTCCCGACTGCCTCCAGGTATGAAGGAGCCCACAAACGCACAAATAAATACACACAGATCTCTGGATTCCTTACATTTTCACATATATTCGGGGTTCCCCCCAACTTCCCATATGTTCGCATATTTTCCTGGGAATCGACGATTAATTGTGTCTGTGTGTTTTTTCCCTCCTGAAGATAGCCTCCGCACAGGAAATCTGCCGAGCCGGCACATGAGCTTGGGACGAAAAATGGCATAAACATAAAACCTCGGCGCCTCCAGGGAGGGGGGCCCAGCGCGGATCCGAGAAATGGGCGCTGACCTCAGAGTTTTCATGTTTATGTCATTATTCGTTCCTTTACGAAGAGGAGCTGAATTCAGGCTTCAGTTCTGCTGAAGCTACAAGCTGAACTTCAGCTCTGCCTGGGAGGGGGGGGGCCAGGTTGGCTCTGCTGGGGTGGGAGGGCCAAGAGGCCCCCAAGACTAGCCCCAGACAGCCCAAGAGGCGCCCCCCCCAAGAAGGCCCCAAAGACAGCCCAAGAGGGACCCAGGATAGCAAAGGAGGCCCAGAGGACCACCCCCAAAAGCCACCCAGACGGCCGCAAGAGGGGCCCAAGAGTCCATCACCCCAAGATGACCCCCAACGCCCCCAAGAGGCTTCCAAGGCGCAGCCATGAGGCCCCCAGAGGCACCCAAGAGGACCCCACGAGGCCCTCAGGGAGGCCTCCAAGACGCCCCCCCAGAGGCCACCAAGAGCCCCCCAGAGAAGAGGCGCCGCCCTTGCTGGCTGCCAGGCCAGAGGCGCATGGCCTTCCGACACGATAACGCTGAACTTAGAACCGACGAAGACCCCCGACCACCTTCAACCTCAAGCCTCTTCGCTCCTCGCAACGCGGCGGCAGCCCTCAAACGCCAGGAGCACCCCGTAATGTCACCCTCAATCGCAAATTCGCATCTGGCGCGGAATACTACCGCGAACTGTGTTTGTGATACAGTCTGTGCGGTGCAATCGATGCTGTGCGAATCTGGGGCGGCGACGAGGCGGCGACGGCGGCCACATAGCCGCCAGACCGACACACAGGCCCAGACGACGGGTGGCGACGAGGCGGCGACGGCGGCCATATAGCCGCCAAACCGAAGACACGGCCCAGACGACGGGCGGCGACGAAGCGGCGACGGGGCGGCGATGGTGGCCACAAAGCGGCAAGACAGAAGACACGATCCGATTTCTCAGAACAAAAGTAAAAATCCCTAGATGCAGACACTGTTTGAAGACAACGCAAATTGTAGACCCCTGAAAAATACCGACACGATACAATCACTGACGCAACCAATCAATAAGCCTGCTTACCGCGAACATCCACATCGAACCATTACCAATCCTGACAATAGTATCTCCCTCGTGTCCCATTTCTGAATCTGGGTCGCTCCTTCAGCAGCACTCTGGCATGCTTGCTCGCCTCTGGGTGTGAGAGAGCACTGATGCGGAAAAAAACATACATGTTGAAGAAGGCTCGTAACACGGCGCTACCACTGGCAGGCAAGGAGAAAGTAAAAGGGGCATGCTGGGATCCTACGGACAGCATTACCACTACCCCCACGGCTACAACCACCACTACGACCACCCCAGCTACTATAACCACTACCGCCACCACAACTTTTTCTACAATAACCACTGCCATTGCACAAACCATTACCACCGCCACTGCCTCTACATCCGCCACTGCCACTACCATGCCCACGGCCACTGCTGCTCATGCCGCACTCACTTCCTCTGACTAAAACTGCGTCCTCACTCTGTTGCTTATGCTCCCGATCCTTGTAGTGGACGGCTCCAACCATATCGACACTCCCGGGCGGAGGGGGGGTCCTCGAGGTATCTATCAGAGCATGGGTGTCTTGGCAAACAAAGCTAAACCTAGACCTCAACATACATATCCTCGATGTCTGGAAATGTCACATATTGTGCGTGCATCTCTAAGGACAAGACGTGCATCTCGACACGCCAACTCTCGACGGTGGACGATGTTTACTTCTCCCCGTGCTCTTGCGCAATGTGCTCTCATGCAACGTGCTGACTCCCTGTCGCTCGCGGGAGAAGGGCACGACCGCAGGCGGCACCCGACCGCCCCAGGTCGGTCAAGTCCCGCGACGGGCGCGGCCAGGAACAGACTTGCGCGTGCAGAAGCCCCTCACCCCGAGAGGCGCCATCCACGACATCCGACACCGTGATCTGTTCACGACGTGGCCCCCAGGAAGGTCCGTACCCCTTCCCGAGGACCGGCTTTTCATCCCGAGGCTCCTGGAGGCTGGAAATTGCTGGAAAAAGCCAGCCCGTCGTGACTTTCGTCGCAGCGCGAGGACGCCCGGGCTTCGACTGCCAAGGCAACTCTACCCCAGCCTGTTGCTTCGTCTTGATCCAAGATCAGTCAATCTCGAACCGGTGTATCGGACTGAATCGAACTGTACGTCGGATCGGGCCGCATCGGCACGGAATCGAAATCGAACATGGTCGGCTGCCTAAGGATGCACAGCATCGCCATACAAGCATCGGGCCGCATCGGATCGTCAGATCCGCCGGTCTGGCGCGGGAGTTTCAGAGAGCCTGACCTTCAGCTCAGCCCTGCTGGGGGGGGGGGCCCGGGGGCCTCTGCCGGGGGAACGGGGGGGGGACGTGTACAAAATTCCCCCGCCCCCGGGGGGACTCCTTTTGTGATTGATCGGCCCATCCCGCATCTGTCGGGGAGGACTCCAGGGTCACCCCCGGAACCAGAGAGGGAGCGGAGCCCCCCCCCCTCCGCGCGCGGCGCCCGCCGGACGGCCCTGCCAACGCCCACGCGCCCAGGATCGGCGGCACTGGCCGGAGGCCGCTCAAATACCGGAATCGAATCGGATCGGGCTGTCCGAATTCGATATCGATTCGCCGCGCGCATAGTGGGGCAGGGGGAGGGGGAAGGCTTCTTGCAAGGAGGCTGCTTCCAAAAAGGCCCCAGCCCTACACTTGCAGAGGAAGCAGCCTCCTTCCAAGAAGCCTTCCCCCCTCCCCCTGCCCCCCCTCTGCGCGTGACCGAATCGAATCGCATCCACCAGATCGAAGATGATCCCGTCTTGGGCACGCCGCCGGAGAGGGGCGCCCCGCCCGCGGGCAGAACCGCCGGCCGCGCCCGCCGCAGAGGCCACCGAGCCAGGCTGGCGGCGCAGCGGGCAGGACTCGACCCAGCAGGCATTCGTTCCGTCTTCGTTTTGTTCCTCGTTCCGTCTTCGCTCCGCCTCTGCTGCAACACGGCACCAGAACGGAAATGGCCCACGGGATCGCCCACACACCGCTCAGCTCGAGCCCTGGAAGCAGGGAGGGATCCTGCACCTTCAGTCCCCTCCTTCGCGAGGCGGGCGGGGATCTATCCACGTCCACACTGTCCCCGGAGCTCAGGACACTCGTTTCCCCCCAGCGGTGGATGCGAACAAATCCCGGCCTCGGACCCTTCCTCCCCGCACCACGAGCGACGGGGAGAAAGACGAACGCACCGAGCTGTCCTCTCTCCTCGTCCTCCGCCTCCTCTGCAGGAGAGCTCAGAATCGAATCGGAACGGTGGGCATCGGCAGCAGAGTCGGGCAAAGTCGAATCGGCGGAAACCGGCAGGCCAGTATGCCTCCAGTGAAACATCGGAGCCCCAATCGGAATCACAAGTCGAATCGAATCGAAATCGGAGACCGCCGAAGTCGAATCGAATGGAATCGGAAGAATCGAGACGAGCCCTGCCTGTGGGACAGTCATCATCCTCTAGAGGAAGGAGAATCGCTGCATAGACATACTTCCTCGACGGTCGACGCGGATTTCTTGGATCGGCGCTGGACACCCCCCTTCCTGGCGATCTCCGCGCGCCAGGGGCGGCGGCGCCACTGGCGCCGCCAGAGGGGGGGGGTCCCAGCGCCGATCCATGAAAGCCGCGCGGAGCTTGGAGACACTGTGTTCATGCAGTTTTTGAACTTCCATCGGAGGGGCGGGGCGGGGAAGGGGGGGGGGGCAGGGAGGGGGGGGTCCCAGCGCCGACCCAAGAAAGCTGCGCGGAGCCTGGAGACACTGTGTTCGTGCAGTTGTTGAACTTCCATCGGAAGGGGGGGGGGGGGGGGCACGCGCTAGGGGCGGCGCCCCTGGCGCCGCCAGGAAGGGGGGGGGGTCCCAGCGCCGACCCAAGAAGGCCGCTCGGAGCTTGGAGACACTGTGTTCCTTCAGTTATTGAACTTCCATCGGACGGGGTGCGGGGGACGCGCGCTAGAGGCGGCGCCCTAGGGGCCGCCAGGCACGGGGGGGGGGATCCAGCGCCTACAGAAGAAATCCGCACGGAGCTTCGGGAAATGGTCGATGCAGCTTTTGAGCTTCCATCGGAAAGGGGGGGGGCGCGGAGCCTAGCTGCCCCGAACACGGAGCTCAACACGTAGACTGAAAGCGTAGGCCTGACGCGGCACGTTCGACAAAACGTGAGCCAACACGTTTTTTCCAATGTTTTTTTTCCGTGGCCACTCCTGGGACGAGCTCCAACGCAACGCAACGTGCTGACACGGACGTTATGGACACGGCGCGTGTTGCGTTTCAACACGGCGCGTATCAGGGCACCTGGGGCCGTCGTGGCCGCGCGGGCGGTTAGCGGAGGCGAGGGGGACGAGACGGGAAGCGGAGGTTCCGCAAGGCGTCGCCTGCCCTCGCCTGCCCTCCTACCCTCCGTCCCTGCTCCTCTCCGCCACGGAGAGGGCAGGGAGGGAATCAGGAGGCAACTGCTGGAAGGCCTTCGCCCGAATGAAGGAGGAGGACTGAGCCCCATTTTGGGGGCCACTGCGCCGGTCGAGACCGCGGACGAAGCGGGATTGGGCCAGATGAAGCGGGACTCAACGGGACTGGGCGGGAATAGGCCGGAGTTTGCCCGATTTCAGACCAGGGCAAAGTCAGAATGTGCCTCCCCAGGATTTGTATTCGAAAGGGAGGTTCTAGTTCCTCGAGTGCGCATAATGCGGCACTCAGCTCGGGGGGGGCTCGCTCGCTCCTCGGCAAACCGGAGCGAACATATCTCTCTATGGCCAGGAGCGGCCGGAGCTCCTCGAAATCTTGGGGCTACCATCGAAAAGTTGGCAGGCGGGAAACTGCAATTCTCGAGTAGGGCATCGACTACATAATCAACATAACCTCATGCCCGTGAGAATAAACACTAGGGGATAATAAAGTTCGGGGTTCAGGGAGAGATAATAAAAGTAGCCCAGCAGACCTCAGCATAATCTCGAAGTAAGAGATGATCAAGAGGAGACCAAGCCGAGCACGTTTTGAGACATCCTTGGCGTTTAGTTTTCATAGAAATATCCTCAACAATGGCTTATCTCTCATGAAAATTGTTTTTTGTAAGTGCTCGTGTAGGGTAGCTCATGTGCCTCAATTTCCATGGATAATCAACCCCAGAGAAAAAAAGTTCAGGCGAGCGTGGGGACAGAGAGAAATATAAAAGAAGAATAATACAGTAGAAGAGTAATAAGAAAGAAGAAGAAGAGGAGAATAAGAAGAGCACGAAGAAAGGAAAAATCCAAAGTTCCAAATCTATCAATTTTAATTTACAAACGCTTTATGAACATTGATTTTTTAAGTGCTCGTGTAGGGTAGCTCATGTGCTTCATTTTCCATGGATAATCAACCCCAGATATAAAAAAAAGTTCAGGCGAGCGTGAGGACAGATAGAAATATAAAAGAAGAAGAGGAAAGTACAATAATAAGAACATTGCTCGTTTCGTTTGAGTCTGCCTCCCCAAATTATTGGTTTCGCTTGACACATCCTGAAAAAGTGTGATCGCTTCGCTTGATGTTGCTATATCAACATCGCTTGATGTTGCTATCTCAACATAGCGTTTCGAGGTGATAATGAAGTTCGGCCTCAGCGCTCGCCGCCCAATTTGAATTTTGTATAGGGCGACGATAATCAACTCTAAACACTGAAGGGGGGGGGTCCCTCTATTATCATCGGCATGCGGTTAATTGATTTCCCCATCGAACCTACCAAAGGAACGTACAATTGTCGGTTGATCTACGGGGCAGTCGACGTACTTTTCATATATATATATATATATATATATATTCGATGGGGAGATCAACCTTGGGGTATATCAATTCTGTAGTCAATCCCCTATTCTAAATTCGCTAGAACCACGGACACTTGCCATCGCTCGGGCGTCCATTCACCGTGTATGGTGTTCGATACCGTGCGCGCATCCTTTCGAAAGAGAACCCAGCGAAGAAACCCAAGGTACCCTGACGAAAAGCAGATGGTTTCTCAATGCGCGATGCGCCGACCAGACTGCACACCTGCACCGACCCTTGCCAGGTCAGCCCTGGGCCCCAAGACTGGTATCTCTACGCCGCCCTGGTCAAGCCGAGACTCGCCATCGCTCGGATGTCCATTTCCCGTGCATCGTTTCGACCTTGTGCGTGCCGTGTTCTGCCAGATGATCCAGGATGCTTCTCGGGTCCGCCGAGCCGCCGTGGCAGCGATGAGCGTGACACATCGCCACTCTCTTGAAACCCGCCCAGGCTTGAGGCGGTCCAGGGGAGGACAAGATTATTGCCGTCGCTCGGGCGTCCCCTTCCAGTGCATTCGTCGGTCTTCTGCACTTTCTTGGCTCGACGATCAAGGATGCTCCCCGATGGTCCTCACCGGGAAAAAAAAGGCACACGTCCGAGGGACGCCAAGGCGAGGGAGCACACACCGATCGTGGGCCCAGGATGGGCCTGGCCAGGGATCAACCTGAACAAAGTTGTTCGTTTTCGTTTTGTTTTTGTATTCGTTTCCGCGTTTTGTTTTTAGTCCACCTCGGCTGCAAAACGAAATCGAAACGAAAACGGTCCACGAAATCGCCACAACACCGTTCAGGTGGAGCCCTGACTGGGCCTGGCCAGGATCGGTGCAGATAGGCGTGTAATAAACGTTGAGCCCTCCAGCTGAAGCGATGCATGTACGTTTCATGGGCTCTACTGGGGCTTCTGGAGCGCTGGAGCGGGTTACGAGATGCTCTCAGGAGTGCTTTTGGGAGGAGGGCGGGACGAGGAACATGGAGAAGGGAGGATGCAGAGGCGGAGAAGGCCCTCTCCCTTCCCCTCCCTCTTCAGCGAGGTGCCCTGATAAGCAGGATTTGTTGGGGAGCAGACGGAGGGAGAAGCAGGAGAGGGAGGAGAGAAGCAGAAGGGAAGAGGAAGAGAAGGATGATAATGAACAGAAAGCATAAGAAATCATGAGGACGAGGATAACCAGCGAGAGAAGGGGGTGAGTGGAGGGTGGGAGGGAAGAGGATAGGAGGAGAAGCAAAGACGTTGTGAGAGGATGGATAATGGGAAGGAAGAGCCAAGATTGGGGAGGATCAAGATCACATGTTCGACCATGGACCCTTTGTTGCCCCCATGCGACTCCAGCGGTGTTCCGCGCGAGATCTGTCCCTGGACCCCTCCTGGGGACCATCCTGACCAATTGTTCGAGCTGTGCGTCTATCATGGCTCACTGTTCGACGGAAGGGGGTGGAAGGCGAAGCCTGCGCCCAGCGTGACAAGATCATTGCGATGCGTGGTGTGGATGCAAAGACCTTGGGCGCCCAAGCTGAATCCGGTTGAGCGAAGACGGCCAGCGGTAGTGGCTTAAGGATGGGCCGAGTATGCAAGGATGAAATGATGCCCTTGGAACACTACGCATCCTGATGATCCTGTTTGACCGTGCGGCCGTCGAGCTCAGTTTGGAAGCCCATGGCCCAGAGCTAAGGGCTAGGACGGGCAGGGAGGCACGGGTGCAAGGCTGCCCCTGGAAAGCTGCGCGCCCTGTTGCTCCTATTAGATGCTTCGAAATAACAAGAGCCCCAACCCTTGGGGAGGCGACCTGCCAAGCACATTCGAGATAGGGGGTCTGCTCTGTAGATGTATCACGCCAAGCCGCCCAGATCTACTGTCCCTAATGCAAAGACGGGGACCTCAGTGCGGCCACGTCTTCACCATGTTGTCAGGGCTAATAGAGAGGCCCGTTTCACTACTCGCAAAAACAAAACTACTCGCAAATTGCCTGGATCCGCCATGGGGGATCGCTACATTCCATGGATGCAAACACGTGTTTTCGGATGCTTGAGAGCAGGCACGTCGCGAGCAGTGGAACGCGCTCGGTGAGAGAGGGCTCCTTTATTCACCCTCGACGCTTTGACCGTGCAGCCCTCGAGCCTCGAACTCCGAACAGCCATGCCCTTTCTCGCCGCCGCCGCCGCGGAGCGGGCCGTGGCGGGGAGACCTGCACCGCCCTCCCCTGCTCGGAGGCCAGCCAATCGTCGGAGAGGGCGCGGCGCACGGCACGCCGGAGCTCCTGCGGGCGGCCCGGCGACCTCAGGGGGGGGACCCCCTTCCGCGGGGGGGGGCGCCCAAGATCGGCGGCGACGATAAGGGCGAATCGCCCTGGGGGCGAGCATTACACGCATTCGCCTGGGAGCCGTGTCGAAGACATGGATCATCGGCGCCCCTGGATACATGTATTGCTCTCACATGGGCTATTCGCCCCTATGATCGCCTCTGACAAGAGTGGGGGGCGCGCAAACCATGGCCGGTGGCGCGTGCGCGGCCCAGAGGGGGGGGTGGCCGCGAACGCATTGGCAGAAGAAGAGGTACCAGGAAATCCGGGGAGATACTAGCATCGCCATGAAATCCCCCCTAGTCATCACACCCCTCTTGGCAGCCCCGAGAGGGGGAGGACGAGGAGGAGGAGGAAAAGCGGCAACGCTCGACGAACTCCATTGCCGTCATTGCCTCAGGAGGAGGAGGAGGAGGAGGAGGAGGAGGAGGAGGAGGAGGAGGAGGACCAGTGTAAACCCAAGACTCACCAACGTTGTCGGAGGAAAAAACCCTTCCCCCCAAGTTCCCCAAGCTCCCTCTTCACACAGGCCCCTACGAAGATTCATTTCCACTGAAGGAAGGGCCCGTTGGAGGACTGTTTGAAGACCCTGAAGCGTCCAAAATAGCATTCTCGGGACTTCAACGCCACAACTGAACCTGACTGTCGCGCCTTGACGATCCTGAATCGTGCCAAGGCACCATTCATAGGACTTCAACACCGCGAATCTGCGCAATCCTGAATCGTTCCAAACACAGTCGTTGGAATACTAACAATGGGAATCCGTGAAACGTTGGCAATTTTTTAGGACAAGTGCGCTCGGCGCTAAGGCGAGAGCCACATTTTGAAAAAGGCCCACCAACTGATTGATTAACGAACGCGCGTTGCGCCAAAACGATACCCATATTTTGAAAAGCAGTCGCCCTCGATCTGTGAAACTCTTTGCAATGTTTTCGCACGCTCGCGCGCGGCGCTAAAACGATAACCACCTGTTGAAAATAAACACCCGTTCCAATCCGTAAAGCTCTTGCATGATTTAAGCACGAATGTGCGCGGCGCTAGAACGAGAACCACATGTTGTAAACGACCCTACCCGCCCTTAATATGTGAAGCTCTTGCAAATGCTTTAGATGAGTGCGTGCGGCGCTAAGGCGAAAGCCACATGTTTTAAACCACAAGCCCTCCATATGTAAGAGTGTTGTCAATGTCTAAGCTTCGGGGTCATAAGTGGCAGGGGACTCTCAGGCATGCGTAAGGGGGCCCGGGAACAGTCCCCCACCAGACGTCGCCCACGAGGCCCAGCATGCCACCAGGAGGCCATGCAAAGCCCCCAGAGGGCACCTACAAGGCGCAGAGGAAGAAGAAGGAGACAAACCAGCAAACACTAGACGCAACCAACACGACTCGAAATTGCAAGTAGCACGTACAAACCTGGGAAGCGCACATCTCCTCTTCTGGAGGTCTGGCATATACACGCACGCGCACAAACGCACATCGATGTCTGTGTGTACATGTATGTCTCTTTCTGTCTGTCTGTCTGTCTGTCTGTCTGTCTGTCTGTCTGTCTGTCTGTCTGTCTGTCTGTCTGTCTATCTCTCTCTATCTCTCTCTCATTATCTCTCTCTCTCTCTCTCTCCCCTTGCTGCCCCTTCCTCAATGACAAAAAAACTGCACATGCATATATATATATATATATACACACATACATATGTGTACCCCGTGAATGTATATGGATATACAATATGCCGTTACCGTGCCTTCAGCACGTAATGCAGTACCCCAAGAATTACCAGTCAGATGTTCGGGAAATCGACTAAAAATATTAGCGGTCTCGATTCCTGGTTTCGTGGGCGCTCTTGGGGACTCCCTGGCCCTCCTGGGAATTCCCAGGGGGTGTCCGTAAGCTCTCAGGACGCTGGGCCGGCCCAGAACTACAGCTAAAACCACTAAACGGGCCCCATGAAGTCCCGCAAACGGTCCATGAGCGCCCCGGAGTGGCCCAAAAGCGCCACAAAACGGCCAATGCATCCTCACGACAGCCCAAGAGGCTCCCAAGACGCCCTGAGAGGGCTCCCGCATACCACCAAAAATGGCAAACATCATTTTTCCCCGTGAGCGCTTGGAAGATTTTACCGTTCTCGTTCCGACGCTCCAAAACGGCTGGGCTGAAGGCGCACATGTTGAATGCCGTTCGGCCAACCAATACTGAACGGTCTTCATTGAATTTTCGTTGTTTGAAAAATCGTGGAAGTTGCTGCTATGGTGTGAGTGTTGGCGTTTGCGTGCGCAGCCCAACATAGAACATGATCATAGCCAGCCTTCTTCTCCTCGTACATCTTGATACCCATCATCGCTGGGCCCCTGTTCGTTCTCCTTTCCTGGCCCCTCCATCGTGCTCTTTCTCGACCTTCCCTCCTGCTCTTCCTACTCCTCGTCCTCGTGCTCGCACTCATCCTCATAATTTTTCTGCGTCTCCCCCGTCCTAACCATCGTCCTGGTCATCCTGCCCTTCCACCGCGTCCTCCTCCTCGTCCTCCTCCTCCTCCTCGTCCTCCTCCTCCTCGTCCTCCTCCTTGTCGTCCACGTTCCTGTCCTCGTGCTGCTCGTCATCGCACCCCGCGGTGTCATCGTCTCCTTCTGCATATGGCTGTGGACTGTCCCCCCGCACCTTTTGAATCGGCGGCGCTGAGGGGCCTCAGGCGCGGTCGGCAGGTAGAGGTGCCAATCGCGAGCGAACTAAGCCGAACGCGCCATGATGGAATAATCCAGCCACGGCCATGCAGATGGGTGGTGGGAGAGATGAGGCGCGGCAAAGCCAAAATGCAGCGGCCAACGAAACCGCGGAGCGGAAGCTCAACGCAAGGAGTTGAAGCGCAAACAACAGCCTGGTGCAAATTCGAGCCTCGAAAGGCGACAAACAACTGCAAGGCAGCCAGAAACCAGTTTGGGGGCGACGCAAAGCGTGCAAAACGGCGCGAGTTCTCTACATGTGTTTACGTCGGCGGCTTGGCCGAAGGTGACTGCTCCGGCGGACTGGCAGACATAGTGCGCCCTGAATGCAAACTCATGCCGCAATGCACGAGGGAGAAGGAAGAGGCCCCGGCGCGACGGGAGGAGAGGAAGCCGGGCCCGCTCAGGCGAGTCACCGGCAGCGGCGGGGGGGCGCGCTGTGGGGGGAGGACCAGCGGCCGCGCTGAGCTGCAGCTGGGGAAGGATGGCGGCCTGGCAGGGCAACCGGATGGGGGAGCAACGCGTGCGAAGCGAAAGCCACCACACTGAGGACCGAAATGGCAGGCGGCCCCAGAGATGGGCCGAGGCGTCGAGACCTGAGGGCCCACTAGGCGCGGCGGGAGGCGGAAGCAGGAAACAGGCGGCCACGACAGCGCCGCGAGCGGCGAGACCGCAACACAGCGTGGGGGCGGCGGAAGAGGCCAGGAGGCGGAGCCACGCCAACGGGGAGCGGCGTGGAGAAGAGCGGCAGCAGCGCCGAAACCAGGAGGGCCTGCCAGGCGCGGCGGGAGGCGAGAGAGCCAAGCAGCAGCGGGCACAGCGCTGCGCAGTTGCGCGACACGCGCTGGCCAGGGGGCGGGAAGCGGAAGGAGAGGACCACGCCAGTGGGGGGGCGGGGCGCGGGCCAGGGGGGCCACCGGGCCCGGCCGGGCGCCGAGACCAGAGGGCCTCCAAGGCGCACGCCGAAACGGCGGGGCAAGGCGCCGCAAAGGAGCGGCAGCGCCCTGCACACCAGTAGCCAGCGGATGGATGCGAGGCCTGAAAACCAGGCAGCAGGCGAGGACCCAGGCGGGGACGCCAAAGTCGCTCGGCCAGCCGCCTGGGAGGGGCGACGCCCGGGCGGAGGCAAGGAGGCCACAATGGACCCCCATTGCGGTAGCAAGGGGCCCCCGCGGAGAAGCGCGACGGCCGGCGAGGCGGCGCAGTGCACGGGGGAGCGCCGTGGAGCAGGCGGCCGCAGGGCCAGGAGTGTGCACGCGGGAAAGAGCAGCCACCGAGCGGAAACTCGAGGTCTGCGGGAGGGGGCACCGATTAAGAGGTGACGCCGGGGGGGCTGGAGCTGCTCTCGCTATGGTCGGTTCTCGCCTGTGGGGGGTCCTCTGGCATTCCAGCCGGACGCGCGCCCACTCCATTAATGGTGGCATCCGCCGCTCTGCGCCTCGCCGGAGGGGGGGGCGGGCTGCCGTCAGGCCGGTCGGGTCTCGGCCGAGGCGGCGCTGGGGGGCGCGGCGACCCAAGCTGCTCGGGGCGCAGGGCGATCCTGCTGGGCTGGCTGAGCCCGGGCTCCTCTCTGGACTCTGAGTTTTGGGGGCACCCGGCTACTGCCTTGGGGGGGACCATTGTGGACCGCGCCGGCGAGGGCCAGCTTCCTTCTTGCCGCTGTCTGTCAGCACTCGCGCACCAGCGGGTGCTGAATCGTCGCGATCCCCCTATAGCTTAGGTAGCCGAGCAGGACGTCCTGGCTGTACCAAGCAGGGTCTCGCCCCTTCACGGAGTCTCGGGGTCGTGTGCGATGCGGTACCTATCCCAGTCGTCAGGTCCCTTGTGGGAGCCAGGGGGTATTTGGGGGCCCTGGCGGTGAAAGAAGCTGACTAGCCAAGGTGGCACGCTGACCTTCCCACGGGGCTCCCGGGGGGGGCCCAGAAGGCGGGATGGAATCGCCGTAGACGGAGGTGAGGAATTCCTGACAGCTCGCGGCGGGCCATGCCCTGGGGTCAGAAGGCGCGCTCATGCCTTAAATCGAGGGGGCTACGTTTTCCGTCGCCCACGCCCTCCAGCGCTCGTCCACCGCCGGACAGACTGAGCGGGCAAACGTCACCATGATGCGCACGGATCGTATTGTCCGCACTTCCACGCACAGAGTCCAGATGGATGTGCCGGGTCGCCTCTAGAGCCGCAGTGCCCCTTACCCGAAGGTTGGGGCAGGTCGGTGGGTCAGCGCTGGGACGTCCATCCAGGAGGCTGACGGGGGGCCATGCCAGCGGTGTTGCCCGACCGCCTCGCCTGGGCGCCTCCGTCTGGCAGCCGTGCTGAGGCTGAACGACGAGGCCGGGGTCGCGAACGGACGTGACGGCTGCGGGAGTCAACGCGGCGGCGTTCTGGCGTTGCCCTGCCACGACGGGTGGAGGATAGCTGCGGAGCTCGGTGGCTGCGGCTGGTCTGGCGTGGGCGCGAGGGTACTGGGCTGCTGTCAGGGGAATGGCTGCTGAGCGCAGAGGTCGACCTGCTCCCGGGTGGCCTGCCAGCACTGCCCAACCTGTTGGCACCCAAGCTGCTAGGCCGCCGGCGGATTGGACTGCGATTCTGGGGACGCTGCCGCTGCGGGGCGGGCGGGGCAGAAACGCCCGCGGCCTTTGCATCCTGCTGGGGAGCGCCCGCCGTCGTAAACTTGGGGGCCCAGACGTTTAGCGGGTCTGGTAACTGATCGTCGTCAGGAGGTGGAGGCTGGCTGCCCTGTGAGCGCGACTGCGGTGGGTCAACTGGCGCGGGGAGAAGCGTTTCCTTGTCCTTCTTGGGCAGAACCTTGGGGAAGAGGGCGCGCCTCTCCCTCTTGAGGACGGCCTTGACCTGGCTTGGGAGTCCTCCCCCCCCCCCCACACGCACACATCCACACACGCACACACACACACACACACCACGCACACACACACATAGACAGAGACAGAGACAGAGACAGAGACACAGACACACAGACACACACACACAGACACAGACACTGACACGGACACAGACACACACATACTACTGATGAGTAGTTGTTAAGCGCTATTGAGCTGCACCCCATGTCCCCGTAGAGGCCGTCTGTGTCCAGGACGATGCAGGACGCGACGCGACTGCAGATATCCAACTCCATCAAGTTACAATCGAACACGACGTGTTCCAAACTCAACGGGCGCTGATCAACAGTGCTGGAGCCTACACGTGTATGCGCCGTCGCAACGGCTTGAGCGAGCTCCCAACCCCCAGCACTGAGGTCTGAACATGAAATGTATGTGGTGTGAGAAGCGGCATGAAACAAACAACTTGCACTGATAAGGACAGATACTACACAGCCTGTTGATTTTCAGGTGATAGGAAAACGAACACACGTCAGGTATGCGGTGCTCGATCGTCGTGTGGCTTGCCCTACAGTAACACGAGCTGAAAACATTGTGCTGAAACGCTACGCTTAAATGCGTGTGTGCATATATAGGACAAATCGAAACTCTGTGAGAACTGTAATGCAAGTCCATTCTAATCTTGAAATGAGAAGCACACTCACACACATCCCGACCAAGTAGATCAGGGGAGGGAAAGAAACAAGCTGTCAACTCAGGCCTTTGAGAGTGAAACCTCTGGCCGTCACCTGTGCAGCCTGCCATCCATCGTTGTGAGGTGAGGCCGTCACTGTCCCATCCAGGCGCCCAATCCGACCAAGAGTGGTTGAGAAACTGCAGCGAACCAAGCCCATGATTCACGGCCTCTCTGGTAGCTAGGAATTGGCCGAGGGGCATCGTCGACTGACGTCTGAGAATAACCACCAACGAGAGCCTTAAGGGTGCTCGACCACTGGGCTGCATTGGACCATCCGTAGGGCAAGCAAAGGGATGATCGAAACAACACGCTGGATGGCAAAGGTGAGTAGGCTTTCGGCGGATAACCTCGCGAATCACTGGAAGCACCCGGAACAAGGTCGGATCGCGGCTGGAATCGATATCGAATCGGATCGACGGGATCGAGACGGACTCTGCAACGGCGGCACCCTCCCCTCGCCATCGCTCGGACATCCATTCCCCGCGCGAATGTTTCGATGTCGTGAATGCATGTTCACAAGGTGGTCCAAGATGCTCCTCGATGGGTTTCGCCGAAGAGCATAATCACACGTACGAGCGACGCTAAGTCTCTGGTTGCCGGGTCACACATGATGTCTACAGCGGCCGTTCGGAACGACCTGGGCACCCTAGGAACGCCCTCACCAAGGCGCAGCTACTGAAGCGAACCCCGAGGCGGTAGAACCTCCAGGAACACACGAACACGTTAGAAAATGCTAGACGAGAACGTCCGATCGACATGAGCCCTAACGCATCCATGCACCATGCCGTAGTCAAGATCCCGCGGGTCCTCGGACTTCCTCGAGATGGCCCTCAAGACGTACACGCCCTCGCGGGAGCAGTGGGCAACGGTAATGAGGCAGTCGAGGTGTCTCCGAGGTGGGCGAGGGCTGGCATCGGATGATGGATTCCTCGATTGCCGAGATCTCCGAATCGGCTATATTTCGTCTTCGCTTCTCTGATATATCGCCTTCGCTTCTCTCGGGGAGACGTAAGGCTCGGGTACAGGGGCATCGGGTTGGCCTGACGGGGGGCATCATAAAAATGACGAGACCCAATCTGAAATTTGACAGGGGCTCCCGCTGCAGACATCCCACGAAAACGGGACCGTCAAATCCAGGACGCGCTCGTCAGACAAAAAGCGGCAAACCCGAGCTCTGGCTTACAAGAGTCTTACGTTTCCCCGATTCTCTGATGCTGCCCCTCGCTCCCACTCCCCTCATCTCATCTCTTCCCTCCCCCCCCGCCCTCCCGTCCCTCCCTCCACAGCTCCCCCCCTGGCTCCCTCCCTGCCTCCATCCTCCCTCCCTCCCCTCCCTCCTCCCCCCCTCCCCTCTAGAGGGCAAATAATCCACCCCCATAATAACCGCCCCTCATCTTTGCTCATCACTTATTCCCTACCTAGGCTCTGCCAAGAAGGGTTCTTACTCTCTTTACTTAAAAGGGACCTGGCAGTGTAAATCGCCCCGGGCGGTTCCCCCAGGATCCGCCTCGCGGTTCCTCCAGTTGCGCCCCCTGGGTTCACCAAGCTTAGCTAAGCTTAGCTTAGCTTAGCTAGGCTAAGCTTAGCTTGGTTTAGCTTATCTTAGTTTGGCTTAGCTGAGCTTAGCTTTGTCTAGCCTAGCTTAGCTTAGCTTAGCTTGGCATGTTTTAGATTAGCTTAGCTTATATCATATTAGCTTAGCCTAGCTTAGCTTGGCGTGGCTTAGCTTAGCTTAGCCTAGCCTAGCTTAGCTTAGCTTACCTTAGCGCAGCATATCGCAGCGCAGCATTAGCACAACATCACATAACATAACATAGCCAAACATATCATATCATATCATAACATAACTCATCAGTTCATAGCCTAGCTTAGCTTAGCTTAGCTTACCTTAGCGCAGCATATCGCAGCGCAGCATTAGCACAGCATCATATAACATAACATAGCCAAACATATCATATCATATCATACCATAGCTCATCAGTTCATAGCATAGCATAGCGCAGCATAGCATATCATAGCATAGCATAGCGTAGCATAGCACAGCGCTGCATAGCAAAGCACAGCATATCATAGCATAGCATAGCGCAACATAACATAGCATAGCACAGCACAGTATAGCATAGCATAGCGCAGCACTGCATCCACTAGTGCTGCTGCTATATATATATATATGTGCTTATGATGCTTTCCTAGAGGCTCCTACTAATGTTGCTTTCCTAGAGGCCCCAACTCCTAGGTAGGGTCGCACTGGGATACTTTGGAAGCCTTTAGGGGCCTCCAGAGGCCCTCCGACGCCGCCAGTCCCCTGGATGCCCAAGAAGAAGGGCCAAGACAAGTCTAAGATCTCGAGCCTTGAATCTCGATCCTCCTCGACCATCCTCATCCTCCGCCTCCTCCACCTCCTCCTCCTCCTCCGCCTCCTCCTCCTCGACCATCCTCCTCCTCCGCCTCCTCCGCCTGCTCCACCTTTACCCCCTCCCTCCAGTAGCCATGATCGCTCCAATTAACCCAGCTTCGGGTTGGCCTCCACGCCGGGCCGGACACGCGGCCTGGTGGTGACTGCGCGGACACGGGGGTGTCGACAGGGGGCTTCTCTGAAGGGCCTGGAGGCTTCTTAGGAGCTGAGAGGTCTCCCACGAAGCCACCTGAACGACGAACAAAATAGGGGTCTTCCGCGAGATGACGCAGAGGCCTTACGCGGCGGCTTACGCTGGCCGCCGCCGCGACACGCCACGTTGGAGGCGAGGGCGCTTACGCGCGACCTTATGCGGGCAGCCTGCGCGCCAATGTCGGCGAACACGACCCGATTAGTTTCGTCGCTCACCTGCGTTCTCAGAAGCACCCGCGCCTTCTCAGCAGGCCGCTTCCCTCGCGCCACGGCACCACCACGGTCTCAAGAGAGCCCCCCATACGGCCAAGAGAGCCCCACGACGGGGGCCCCACCTCGGAATGAGAGGGGCTAAGGCGGGCCAAGATGGCCCCAGTGGATCCCCAAGAGTGCCCCACCTGAGCCCAAGCCCGCCCCAAGGCGGCCCAAAGTCCCCATGAGAGCTCCTCTAGAAATTTAGACGAGAGGTTGTGACGGCTTTCAGGGCGGTGCTCGAAGAATCGCCACAGAGTGCTTCGCTGGCACGGTGGGAGAGTTGCCGCAGGCACCAGGACAGCTCCGTTTCTGTTCCCCTCCTCCTCCTCCTCCTCCTCCTCCTCCTCTTCATTTTCCTAGCCAGCCCTCGCCTCCTCCTCCTCCTTCTCCTCCTCCTTCTCATCCGCCTCTTCGCCTCCTCCTCGACTGACCCCCCTTCCTGCTCGACTCGCATCTCCTCCCTCTCTTCCACCTTACTCCTCCTCCTCGTCCTCCTCCTCCTCCTCCTCGTCCTCCTCCTCCTCGTCCTCCTCCTCCTCCTCCTCGTCCTCCTCCGCCTCCCTCTCGTCTCCGCCGTCGTCTTCATCCTTGTCTCTCCTCCCTCCTCCCGCTCCTCCTCCTCCTCCTCCTCCTCCTCATCATCATCATCATCATCACCACCACCATCATAATCATCATCAGCATCATCATCACAACCACCACCACAATCATCATGATCGTGATCATGAACATTAGCATGTTCATCATCGTTGTCATCAGAATCATCAGCATCATCATCACCATCAGCATCAGCATCAGCATCACCACCACAATCAGCACCACCTTCACCATCACTACCACCACCACTACCACCACCACCATTTTCACAATCACCATCATTACCATCAGCAGCATCATTATCATCATCGTCGTCATCATCATCATCGTCATCTGATACAAAATCATCACCATAATGCTCATACTCATCATCTTCAGCAGCAGCATCAGCACCCTCAGTATCATCCTGATCCACATCCTCATCCTCGTCCTCATCCAAGTCGTCGACATCATCATCCCCATGCGCGTCATCATCATTATCCTCATCAATATCATCATCCTCACCAACATCATCACCATCAACATCATCACCGTGTGCGTGCCTCGTCATAATCATCATCATCATCATCGTCGTCATCATCATCATCGGCACCATCATCATCATGATCCTCGTCGTCATCAACATCCTCATCAATATCATCATCATCACCATCACCATCACCGTCACCATCATCATCACCATCCTCATCAGCATCATCATCATCATCATCATCATCACCGTGATCGTAATCGGGATAGGGGCTCATGCAAAACGTCGTCCTCGTATCGCCATCGACGTCGCCGTTATCGTCATCATCTCCACCATCACCATCATCATCATCATCACCATCATCAACATCATCATCATCATCATCATCATCATCATCATCATCACCAGCATAATCACAAGTATGAGCCTACCAACGGCGCCAATGACGACGCCAAACTCAAACGAGAACGGGGACGATAACTACACACAGAAGAGCGTCGACCACGAAAACGCCCAGAACGGCGACGAGCGACATATCGACGAAGACGATCACCTTAACAAGCACGGCGGCATTTAAGAAAACGACGTGAACAACGACGCCGCCAACGACGACTTGTATCTACATTCTGCCTTCGCGAGGCGGACGCGGTATCCGCCAGCAGGAGCAGTAAGAAAAGACAAGGGAACAGAGACTACAACAACTGACACTTATGCTCGTCACTAGAGAGCTTCGCCATGCTCGCCATCGCTCGGACGTTCATTCCTCGTGCATGTTTCGGCTTCGCGCGTTTATTGGTTGCACGATGATCCTAGATGCCCCTCGATGGTCCTCGCAAAGAAAAATGCACATGTTCGAGCAATGCAAAGCATGCAACTACGATCGGGGAACCTCAGAGATCCCGTGTTTTTTGACACCCAATGCCAACCAGGCGCCAAGAACCGCCGATACTTGTCTTTCGGCGGCGAGCCAAGGGGGGAAATGAGAAGGGGCGGGCCTTCTCAGAAGGCTCGGAAGTCACCCCGACTTCTGAGAAATTTTCTGAGCCTTCACCGAAGACACAGAAGACTTCTCAGAAGGCGCGAGGGCTTCTGAGAAGCCCCGCCGCCTTCTGAGAAGGCCTTCTCCTGTTCACTTCCGCCCCTCGCTCGCCGCCGATTATTCTCTGCCGCAGCTCAAACGGCCCCAAAAATCAGCTGCTCCTGCCCTTCCGGGTTCCCGCCAGCCGCGGGGCGCAGGGGCGCCAGGAGTTAAGCTTTCCACGCCCCTGCGCCCCGCAGCTGGCGGGAACCGGGATTCCCGAACGTTCTGGAAAAGAACTCTCCTAAATCCCGGTTCTCGCCAGCCGCGGGGCGCAATGGCGCCAGGAACGTCCCTGCGCCCCGCAGTTGGCGGGAACCCGGATTTTGCAGAACACCTGCCTGGAAGGCGCGGAAATCCCGGTTCATGGCGCCCCCTGCTCGCTCGGGACACCTTCGCAAAATCGCCCAGAGAGCCCGGAGGTGGGGTAGGTGCAGGGCCGCATGTGATCCGAGCGTGGAGTTTGTTGGCTTTCTGTACTGAGTTATTTATCGTGCTTCCTTTCCCTTGCACAACGCTCTGCGTTGGTATCATTTTTGTGTTTCTCTCTCTCTCTCTCTCTCTTCCTCTTTCTGTTTTTTGTTTCTCTCTCTCTCTCTCTCTCAAAGTCGGATGCGTCGGAACCCAGGAGCGTCATCGAAAAATGTGCACGCCATGGGCTTGTCCGACCCGGTTGGCTCCAAGAGGGTGTCCAGAAGGCACACGATCGCTATCGAGGCTGCCCAAGGTGGCCCACGAGTATCCCGCGAGGCATCCGCGTTGGCACAAGAAGGCTCCAAGACGGGAGGGCTCCAAGGCAGCCCAGGGTGGCCTCAAAATGGTCCACGGGGCAACGACCG